TCTATCTATCTATCTATCTATCTATCTATCTATCTATCTATCTATCTATCTATCTATCTATCTATCTATCTATCTATCTATCTATCTATCTCAACAGAGCTATGCAAATGTTGGTTCCAAGTACATGCCTGAGCTCTTCCTTCTCAAAATTCCTTCGCTTTTAAACTAAAACCAAACCACATTTCCTGCCTCTATACGTTAGTAGAAAGCAAAAGAACGAATCACTTGAAAACTAGAATCGAGCAAGATGCTCATTTCAGAGATTCACTGATCTGTCTTTATTGGAGATTCTTCTTCTAAAACTCTCTCAACTGGTTTGGGTGGAGAAGGCAACCAACGATCACTAGATCTATTGAGACCTCCGCTTGTTAATCCTCAGGCTGCTGTTTCTGTTTTCAAAATTGTATCTGCTTCCAATGGCCAGAGTATAGTTTTCCTGACTAACAACTTCCTCCGCAAAGAGCAGGACTCCTGTGTTGGCCAGCTTCATTTTGGCTCCTGGGTGACAATTAAAAAATAAGGGAGGGGGATTCCGAAATAATGCGACCCCCCACTTTAGAAGGGAAGCCAAGCGGGAGAGGGACACGCATTATTCCGGCCAAGTAAATTCCTCTAAAGGAGGCAAAAAGGGGGACGTGCCTCCTCAGTAGTAGGCCAACTGCGGAGAAACCTATCTTGCCAAATGAAAGCTCCCCCGCCCTTGTCTCAGGGCTCGAGGCAAGTTCTTGGCCATATCCACGGCAATATGCTGCCTTCCACTGTGGACAGGGCTGTTCAGCTCTAACGCTTCCACCTTTCTGAGAAGGGACTTTGAATCATGAGTTAAAACCATGAATTAAAACAATGTTAATTAAATCTTGGTGTATTCTAACAAAAACTGAGGAGAGAGATTTTGCTCCCTTGAACACACGTGTAAAGAACAAAGTAACCGTTGCAAAAAGAAAAGAAAACGTCCTCTGCCAGAAGCTTAGATGGGCTGTCACTTTTCCTACTCCAGGGATGGTTAATATGTAAAAGATTTCCCAAGTATGCCCAGTAGAGATTGCCTTGCCAACCTTACAATATTTTTGGAAATACATGTAAGATATACGCACAGGTTTTGTTGACCATTTTTTCCACTTGGGGACAGGAAAGACATTTTATTAGCCTGCGTAGAAATGGGGGCGGGGGACCTACACTAACACAATTACCAACGTTTTGAAACTTGTCTCTTCTCGGGGAGAACCTGTCAGAGCTGCACGGCCCGTTTTCTTGGGGTATATTAACTTGGAAATGGGTTGCCGTACTTGCTCCAAATGAAGTGGCCGTTGATCTGGGTTGACTTCTTCAAAACAAGCAAGTCCCAAGGAGTGTGACGTCAGGCACTGCATGTCAGGCAAATGCTAGTCGACAACAAAAACAATATATTGTTTAAAAAGCGAATGAATCCAGTGGTAGCGAGCATTGCTCACGGATCGATTCCCTGTTTTAATTGTACCTACAGAAAAGTCGGAAACGGTCTTGATTGACTTTTAGTTAAACAAACAATTAATAATTGAATCTGAGAGGGTGGGGGGAGAGAAGAAAGTATGTAATAAGTAACGCCGTCAATGAGCCTCCCCTTTTCTTCCCCAAATATAAAATGTAATACAGTACCTCACTGGTATTCTCTTTGAGGGCAGCCGCTGAACCTGAACATGTAGAAGGCGAAAGAGAAAAGGGGGAAAAATTAGTCTGTGCTCTAAAACGAAACCATCAGGACGGCTATCCTATTAGTGGCAACTTTTCTATCTGATCTTGACAAGTGACACCCCAGGAAAATATGAGGTTCAAAGAGCACAATCAATCGGCAGAGCAACTACTGTTTTCAATGGACTTAATAAATGCCCGGACCACAAGGGACAGAGAGTGAGAGACAGAAAGAGAGAGGAAGAAGAAGAAGAAGAAGAAGAAGAAGAAGAAGAAGAAGAAGAAGAAGAAGAAGAAGAAGAAGAAGAAGAAGAAGAAGAAATGAAAACTATTTGCTGTGGGGTTTACCCCCCCATGAATCTTCCCCTCCCCCTTTGGATCCTTTTAGCGCCCCCCTCCCCTTAAAACAGTTTATTTGAAAGAAGCTTCGGGTGGACACTGTAGACATCGGAGTGGCCAATCAGAAAAGCTCTTTCCCCTCCCGGCCAATGGCAGGCGCCACATTGTTGTCAAATGTTGTCTAATGGATACGTAAGGCGCAACAATAGAGCAAGCGCTCGCGGGCGGTTCGGCGAAGATTTCTATCTCTTGGCAACTCTCGCTCTCTTTAGTGGCGCACATGCAAAGTTGGGGCTGAGAGAAGGGGGGTCCGGACTGGGTTCGGCTGCCCGTTGAAGGCAGCTTTGGTTGGTGGGGCTGTAGCTGGAGGAAGGGAGAGGCAGAAGAGGCTGAGAAAAATCAGAGGGCGGCTGAGACAGGAGCGCGGGCGCGAATCAGGAAGTTGGAAATTGTTGCAGTCTGAAGTCTGAAACCTGGCGGGGGTCAGAGGAATCCTCTGTCTCCTGCCACGGTTAGCTTGGCTTGGCTTGCCTGCGATTGTGACAAGCTGGAATCTTGGACAGGCACTGGGACCGCTGCGTCTCCAGGGGCTCGTGCGGGCTTCTGGCGGGACGGTGTTTTGTAATATTGGCAAGCGAAGGAGTGCAGCTGTTCTCCTTTCCTCGGATTGTGGCAGGAGCGGTTGTCGTCGGGTTCCGCCCTAAGTTCTTGCCAGGGAAGAAATCAGCGGGAGTGAGCTGGGGCGAGTTCTGCTTCGCCGCGTGGTTGAGAAGAGATGGAATGGCTGGGGAGTCATTGCATTGGTTTCGGAGCTTGGGGGCTTTGATTCGTGGGGAGCAAGGAAGCCCCGACTTCCGCTACCCTAGGATCCACGTTCCTTCTGGGGGAGATTGAGCCAGAGCAACCAAGAAGGTCGGGGGCCGTTGTTTGTTTGCTTCCTCGAAGAGTAAACGCCCTTTACTTCCCCGAAGTTAGGTAACGCAGATGCGTTCTAGAGGGGAGGGGGGGTGATTGTGGAGGAAGGACTAAGACGCACCAGACTTTTTTTGGAGGAGAAAAAGTTCTCGGTTTTTGTAATTTGAACGGCTTCAGAGTGGCTTGGAGGGACACGGGCTATTAGACAAGCTGAGCAACTCGTTAGCCTCTCGCGGAGGGTGGGGAGGCTGTTCCAGGAAGGGCCTGGCGTTTCCCTCGCCCCGTTGAACCCGCGGGAGTCTTGTTGAGGTATTAAAGGAGCATCGGTGGGGAGAGGGCCCTGAGCCTCCGCGTCTTCCCTGGCAGCCACGACGGCAGTCCTTCTTGGTCGAGATGGAACTGAGGTCTGAGATGACCAGCGTCCCCACGGCGCCCTCTGCGGTGCCCCCCAGTTCGGTGGCGGCGGCGGCGGCGGCAGCGGCAGCGGCCAGCCTGCCGGTGAGCGTAGCCGGGAGCCTTCTGCGAGGCCCGCCGTTGCTCCTGCGAGCTGCCGAGAAGTATCCGCGTACCCCCAAGTGCGCTCGCTGCCGCAACCACGGCGTGGTGTCTGCGCTTAAGGGCCACAAGCGCTACTGCCGCTGGAAGGACTGCCTGTGCGCCAAGTGCACGCTGATCGCCGAGCGGCAACGCGTCATGGCCGCCCAGGTGGCGCTACGGCGGCAGCAGGCTCAGGAGGAGAACGAGGCCCGCGAGCTGCAGCTGCTCTATGGCACGGCCGAGGGGCTGGCCCTGGCCGCGGCCAACGGCATCATCCCCCCGCGGCCCGCCTATGAAGTCTTCGGTTCCGTGTGCAGCGCCGATGGAAGCTCGGGGGGTTCAGGTGAGGAGCTAGCGCGCACCCCAACCCTGAGGCGACGGCGACGAGCTAAAAAGGCGCTCGTTTTCCGTCGCTCCGGGATTCGAACCGTCCCCCTAAGTAAACTTGACCGGCGACAGTGAGTCTCGTGCAAATTCTGAGAAAGCCAGCTTTCGGGTTCCCGGGCGCCGTTTAAAGCCCTTCGGCCTCAGGAGTTCTACACGAAGTTTAGAATGGGACTGGCCGACGGGGAGGAAAGGGCTTCCCAATCTTTCTTTAGGCAGCCTTCAGCACGCTTAAAAAACGAGCCCTTCTACTCGGAGGCTTCTGTCCACTTTCCCACATTCCACCTTTTGCTCCTTCTCAGTCCCCCTGGACATTTTCCCCACGCTCTCTCCGTCCCACGCTCAGTTCGTTTCCCTTCCACGCAACCATCAATAGCTCGCTCTTTAACACGATTTCTAGACCTCCAATCTCAGCCTTTCTTCGCGATCTGTAAGATAAGGAGTTCCTTATCGTCGCTGATGGAGTTATTTTTTTTAAAAAAAGAATCCTAGCCGTTGCTTTAACCGTGAAACATTGGCCAGGCATTTTTAGATTATAGTCCCACTCGTGTTTGCCAGGCCAAAAGCAGTAAGGGTCCACACCGTTGTTTTTTCCTGAGCAGTGTTTTCTCTTTCTTGCTCCCTTCCTCTTTCCCCCGTGTTCATAAAGTCTTCCACACCCATTTGGGGCCCACTTAGCGTCCCTCTAATTGCTATTGGATTCATTTCCAGGTAAGTTAGTATTGTTACATAGTCAACTTCTCATTGAAAATATAGAGGCCTGATCAGAGATGGCATCGAATTGAGCCTACCCAACCTGGGGCTGCCTTCCAAGTTTTCTTCAGCGAAGTTATGATAGGAGTTGTGTTTCCATGCCACTAAGGGGACCAGGTCGGGGAACCTTTTTCTTGCAGGTTTTTTTGGTGGGGATGGGGGTGGGGGTCTCCTTGGCCGTCCCAAGCCAGAGGGGAGGGAGACGACAGAGAAGAAAGCGCCTCCTAGCGACGACAGCAATTTAGCCCTGCCAGGAGACGCTCTATAGCTGCAGTGGCGAGACGATTTCGTATCCTAAAGTAGCTCCTTAGGAAGGTCGCCAAGGTGAGGCGACGGTTCCCCAGCAGGTGCCACCTGGGGAGGGGAAGAAAAAGGAGACGGCAAGATAGGAAGTGGAGGGCAGATTGGAAGGGCAACTTGAAGCCACCAGATACAGCGGAAAGTGGGGATGGACAGAAGACTGGATGAAATCAGGCTAGGGTAGAGGGGTGCAAGATCCATTGGGTGGGTTCCGTGAGACAGAAAGGCGAGTAGTCGCTGAATTAAGTCTCTTTGTTGCTCTAAACTGCCGAAAAGAGCCCAGCTTAAGCGCACTCGCTTTCCCATTTCTGTCAAGGAAAAGTACCTAATAGGCCCCCGTCCGGCCCTTGGGGGGGGGCACCTGGCAAGGAGAGCCTCGTGCAGCTCGCTCTTTCTGTCTCTCTCGCCAGAAGTCAAGCTGCAGAAATTTGACTTGTTCCCCAAGTCGCTTCTCACCAGCCGCTCCGTGACTCCTCAACAGAACAAGACTTTGTCGCCGGATGGGACGGACGACGCGCCAGGCACCTCATCCCCGGAGCCGACTCGACACAACTGTGGCTCGGGCTCGGAGAACGGCGACGGCGAGTCCTCCGTCAGCTCGCCAGTCTCCAAAGACGCCAAAGACGGCAGCGGGGGCGGCGGAGCCGAGGAGGAGAGCACAGGCTCCATCAGCCCACTGGGCTCCGACTCGGGTTGCTCTGAGGCAGAACGGGACGAAGTGGGCGCTCCCTCGCCTGGTTTGGCTGTTGCTGCCGCGGCCGCCGTGGCGGGGAGCAGCCGGCAGCAGCGGACGCCGTTGGACATCCTGACGCGCGTGTTTCCCGCACACAAGCGCAGCGTGCTGGAGCTGGTCCTGGCCGGCTGCGGCGGCGACGTGGTGCAGGCTATCGAGCAGATCCTTAACAACCACCACCACCACCACCGGGCAGCAGGCGGCAGCCCAGGCCAAGCACTTTCCGCCGCCTCTGGACTTAGCTCGGTAGGGCCGGACAAGGCGGGCGACGAGAGCTGGGCGCGGGCTCCTGGAGACGCGCCGGGGACCTTGGGTGGCCTGCAGCCTTCGTCGGCTGCCGGCACTTCGCATCACCGCCCTCTTTTAGCCGGCGCCATGACCCCGGCCATCGGCGCGCTGGGCAGTCGCTCCGCCTTCTCCCCTCTGCAACCCAACGCTACCCATTTCGGGACGACGGCTGAGGCCGGCGCCTACCCCTTAGGCACGCACTTGAGTTTGAGCCCGCTGCGCCTGGCTTACTCTGCCGCAGCGGCGCACAGTCGCGGCCTGGCCTTCATGACCCCTTACTCCACGGCGGGGCTAATGCCCACGCTGGGCTTCCGGCCGCCTATGGAGTACGCCTTCAGCGACCTCATGCGGGACAGATCGGCCGCGGCGGCGGCGGCCGCAGCTGCTGCCGCCGCCGCCGCCAGCGCGCACAAGGAGCAGGCGTACCCAAATGGCCTTTACGGGCCCTTGGTGAATAGCGCCCCAGACAAACAGTAGGCCACAAAGCCGGTGGCTGGATTTTCTATGTACATATATATGCATAGAGAGAGATAGAAATATATACGATATCAATTTGTGCCCAAGCGCACATCCGAGAGGTGCGCAAAGGGCAGCTGGGGCAGCGAATTCTCGGAAGGCGGCGGGGGAGCGACCTGGTCTAACCGAGGGCTCGATTCCCCGCCAGTATCGCAGCGGGTCTTAAACGCCGCTTATCCTCAGATAACGGTACGCACCACTTAGAAGTATGTTCCCCGGAAAGTGAGGCAGCGGAGTAGTCCAAGGTTGGAGCTGAGGTGGTTGTGGTGGGGCTACAGCACTTTTCGCGGAGCAAAGGAGGAGAAGGAGGAGGAAGAGAAGGTGCAGTCTCGTCAGCAGCCGAGTGAACGGGACATATTGCCAGTGATTTAAGGCAGAATTTTGCAAAAATGTCATGGCCCGAGATATGTAACGTGTCTATGGGCAGCACTGTTGTCTAATTTTTCTGTCGGTTTCTGTGAGTAACAGTGGGAAATCACCTTGTCGCCCCCCCCCGCCCGCCTTGGTTTCGCCTGACTTTTAGGTGATCCGGGTTTCATTTCACACTCATTTGTTGGGACCACAAGTAATCAAATGTATGAAACTTGGCGAACCTCTAAAGTGTGTTGATTAAGCAAAATGAGTAAATTGCCTTTTTACTGTTAAAGTTGTCCCTCATTATTATATTTTGCATATAGCTGTAAACATGGATATTCCCTCTTTCGGGCGGCATCCATACTTCTATCTGTATCTCTATACCTGCCAGTGTATAGCATAATATTAAAAAATGGGAATTTAAATTATTAATGTAATTTGTAGGTGAAGTTATTATTAATGGTAAATGAAATGGTTAGTCAGTTTTCATTTTGGAGACAAGTCATCATAGAGATTAAACATACTGTAAAAAAGAATTAATTCTTCGTTCTGTCTATTCCCAGGAGAAATTTAATGTGTAAATAAGGTTAAAAAGTAAATATATTTGTAATTGTCGTTTCCTTTGGACTCGATCCAAAGGCCGTTGTTGGCCCGAATTTAATGAATGATCCAAACGAAAATGCTGTCTGATTTCAGCGTAACAAAATTCTTGCCACTTCAAACAGGGTTTTTCTGAATTTGTTTTTCCCTTCTGTTTTCATTTCATAGAAAACTAGAAATAAATATTATTTTGTATTAAAACCTGCCACAGTAATAACTTCTGCTGTTTCGTTTATTTGCAGTATTTTAGCTTCTAAGGGCAATTCCAATTTATATCAAGTGAACTGATTTCAGATGATTTTTTCGGTAATCCTGGCAGCTTCAATTAAACTGGTCAATCCAATAAGCGATTCTGTCAGTAATAGGTAACCAATTCTGCAGTTCAAATACACATTAGTTACAATGTTCTTACTGCAAGGATTTTGGAAATCTCTTTCAAAGCTAGAACAATTTTTCCCGTAAAAGGTCATGTTTATAGTGGTGAACCTAAGACTGAGATTCTGCAGATGTGAATTATCCTGTCTTTTGAACTTGTGAAACACCATTCCTGGTCTCCTTACCTGAGAATAAGCCCATTTATATTCAGTAGGATTTATTTTTGAACCAGTGCGATAATGTTTCATTTGTGCATAACTCTATAAAATATTATTTTACTGCTTTTGATTATGATGGCAAAATCCAGCAATTTAAACCTGGGATATTATTTGTCTCAAATTTACCAATAAGAGCATCTATTCCTCTTCCCCTGCATTTTGAAATTTACATTCTACTTTTTAATTTTCAATCGGACAGGAACACACATTGAATTTCTGATCTAGGAAGCTTCCTAGCTCTTGGCCAATAGATTGTCTATAAGAAAACTGACTGACAAAGGACAGCGGAAATTTTTATTCAAGCCAGCTCTCTGGACACTTTTTGCTTTTTTATAAAAGCTAATTTACAGAACTCTGACAAGATATTTTTTCATTCTGAATGCTGCCTGGCCATTACTATTGGGAGTCTTTGGTACTATATATCAATTGATATATCAATCAATATCAATATATATAATTGCCCTTCATGGAAAGAAATCCTAATGGTCAAAAAATCATTCAGGACTTGGAGGAAGAAAACAATAACCAAGACTCCCTTTTTTCTATGTTGCTAAATAAAGCTATGAAGCAAAAGAGCTGGTAGGAATCTCCTACTGTACCTCCCTAAGGATAATGCTTCTGTAGGCTGGATTTTTCTTTTTGTCCTGTGGAGTGTTTGGCCCAGGAAAACTATTACTCACAAAGAACAAGTTCAGTGCATGGTTGAATTAAGACAGTAAAAGCTCCTAAAATTGGTTGGTATGGAAACCTAATCCCACCCAACTGTTCTGTAGCACAGCTGGACTGTTTACTTTCTCACTTCAAATATAACTGTGTAAACATTGGCTTGAAACTGAGGGCTCTGCTTCTATAACCAGTTCATATAATGTTGTTGGAGAAAATGGGACTTCCTTGGAGGTTATGGGGAGAAAATAATAACAGTAATAAATAACATTCTTGGTTAGGACTTTAACTGTTGTTTTTACCAATCCAGACTGTGAATCGAATTGAAGATTAAATATAATAATAATAACAGCAACAACAATAACAATAACACAGCAATAATTATATAATAAAAGAGGCAATATGCAATTCTCTCTCCTTTTTTCCTATATATTTTAAAATACCACTGAAATATTTTTGGTGTGTGTGTGTGTGTGTGAATGAGTGAAGGAGAGTGCAAGTGAGAATAACCAATCTAAGGCATAGGTGTTGAGGCTCTTGATTTTAAGCGGACTTACTGGTCAGCAAATATATTTAGGCTTGCAACTCATGTATGATCAATATGATCAATTACCTTTGAAGTTATTTTTTGGCTCCTACCTCAAACCATAAGAATGATTAAATTAATATAAGGAAGGAAACTTTAAGAAAAGTTTGAAGTTTCAAAAGTGATTGAAACATAATACTGCCACAATAAAATGCATTAATATAGAAGAATTTTAAAAGTGATCTAATTTGATTGAGTTTCCTAATTCCAATTTTTTTTTAAAGGAATTGTCTGTTGGATTGTAAACTGACAGAATTGTAAAGAGGGAATAGCTGAAAATGTAAGAAGGTTTGGAAACAAGCTGAAATCTTGGTCGTAGTGTGTCCACACAATTCTGTGGGAGTCTTAGCTGTGCAGAGGGTAGTTATGAAACTCTTTTCTTACCTATAAAAACAAATACACAACTTTCTTTTTTTTCAAAAGCAGAGGAACTGGTAACTTAAGTTTCTTTCCCTCTCTACGTTTCTTTGCCTTACAATGTCTCTGTCAATTTAAAAAAAATTAAGATGGTAGTCACAACTATGTGATTGAAGCCTCATCCTTTTAAATAATGCCTCACAATTCATTAGGAATAACAGAATAACAGTTGGAAGGGACCTTGGCAGTCTTCTAGTCCAGCCCTCTGCTCAAGCAGGAGATTCTATACCATTTCAGACAAATGGTTCTCCAATCTTTTCTAAAAAAACCTCCACTGATGGAGCATCCACAATTTCTGGAGGCAAGCAATTCCATTGATAAATTGTTCTCATTATCTGTAAATTTCTCCTTATTTCTCTGCTTAATAAGTTTCCATCTGTTATTTTTTGTCCTGTGTTCAGGTGCTTTGGAGAATAAGTTGACACACACCCATTCTATCTACCCGTGCTATCATATCACCCCTAGTCCTTCTCCCTACTAGACTAAACATACCCAAGTGCTACATCTGTTCTTCATATGTTTCCAATCTCCTAATCAATGTTGTTGTTCTTCTCTGCACTTTCTGTAGAGCCTCTAGAACGGGTATCAAACTCATTCGTCATGTGCGTCATCGTGATATATCAGAACCTTGCCCCCTTTGCTAAACCGGGTGTGGGTGTAGCCAGCATGAGATGCATCTGGTCTGCAGGCCATGAGTTTGACAGCCCTGTTCTAGAACATCTTTTTGAACTTTGATGACCAAACCTGGATTCAGTATTCCAAATGTGGTATTACCCAAACAGTATAAAGTCATACTAATACTTCACGTGATCGTGATACTATCCTTCTGTTGATGCAGTATAGGACTGTATTGGCATTTTAGGCAGTTGCAGCCCAGTGTTTGCTTATATTTAAGTGGTTGTCCACTAGAAGTTCCAGATCCCTCTCACAGTTACTGCTATTGAGCAAAATACCACCTATTCTATACCTGTGTATTTGATTTTTCTTGCTGAAGTGTAAAACTATACCCTTCTCACCAGCAAATTACAATGTATTGGATAGGGCCGGTGGTGAATTCCTACTGGTTCGGCCGAACCGGTAGTGGTTTGGTGGCCTGAGTTGCTGGAACTGGGAGCGACTTAGGCCTGCCATTCCTGGGTCACCACTGCCTTCCTGCCAGACCTGCCACGCCCCTGAACTAGGTCTCCTACGGTAGCACCATCTTGATTTTCACATGCGCTGAACAACTTTCATTGCACAAATTTAATTTTTCCTCATTTTTTAAACACTTCGAGCATGTCCAGACTTATTTATGAGCAAATGTGCATGCACATGGTGCCTGTGTCTGGCGTGCAAGCAAGCAAAATGTTTGCGTGCACCAAACTGGCAGTAATGCTGAGAGCTACCCACCCCTGGATAGGGCCCAGTGTTCAAGTCTGTCAAGATCCTTCTAAAGTATTGGCTGTTCCCCCCAGCTTGGTATTGTTTGCAAATTCGATGAGTTACCCTTCTATCTTCTCATTTAAATAGTTTAAACTATGGGGTACTCCACTACATGTTTCCTTCCACGTAGATGTAGCTCTATTATGGACTACAAGTTGAGTGGGTTGGTCAGCCAGTTATCAATCCATTTGTAAATATATGTAAAGGGCAGGGTTTTAAATACATTGTTATACCCACCACCTTGACTTTTTTTTTTACTCTACTGCACACATTCCTGTTAAATAGAAAGAATAAGTGGAATACATTGATTTAGCTTCACTGGATCA